AGGGTTTTCTTTTTTTTTTTGTTATCCAAGTTTACTACTTTTTGTTTAAGTTTCTGTTGTACTAAATCAGTATGATTTGAATAAAATTTTCCTTTGGACATTTTGCTGTTTTTTAAATTTATTTTTTAAGATTATAATGCAAGTAACCCCAGCAGCACAGACATTAAGGGCCTCATTGAATAAATGGGACATCCTGAGACTGAGAAGCTTCTGTAAAGCAAAGGACACTGTCACTAAGACAAAAAGGCAACCCACTTACTGGGAGAAGATCTTCACCAACCCCGCAACTGACAAAGGTCTGATCTCCAAAATATATAAAGAACTCAAGAAATTAAACCATAAAAGGCTCATCAACCCAATTATAAATTGGGGCACTGAGCTGAACAGAGAATTCTCAACAGAAGAAGTCCAAATGGTCAAAGGACACTTAAGGTCATGCTCAACTTCCTTAGCAATCAGGGAAATGCAAATCAAGACAACTTTAAGATACCATCTTACACCTGTCAGAATGGCTAAAATCAAAAACACCAATGATAGCCTTCGCTGGAGAGGTTGTGGTGTAAGGGGCACACTCATCCATTGCTGGTGGGAATGGAAACTTGTGCAACCACTTTGGAAATCAGTGTGGTGGTTTCTCAGGAAATTCGGGATCAACCGACTCCAGGACCCAGCAATACCACTCTTGGGAATATACCCAAGAGATGCCCTATCATATTGCAAAAGCATTTGTTCAACTATGTTCATAGCAGCATTATTTGTAATAGCCAGAACCTGGAAACAACCTAGATGCCCTTCAATTGAAGAATGGATGATACTGTTGATTTTTAAGTATTTTATATTCTATTGTTCCTTTAATTATGTTTTTTGTGTAAATAACATCCATGCTTTTAAATAAGCAAATGATATGCCAAGTTTGAAATCTAAGTCTGTAGCATTTATTTTAAAGCTTTTAATATATAAGTACTTTCAAAATCTATTGATTATTATGTAAGGTATGTTTGAGATCGTCACTGTGGTTAGCAAATCTCCAGTATTAGGGAGAATTGTTTAGTCTTCCCTTAAGTGTTTATATACCCCAAACCACGGAACATATTGAAAACTCACAAACAACCTTTCCTTTGACAGACTCTTTCATAGGAGACTTCCTGGCCCTTAAAATATTTTAGACTTCCTCTTTTTTGAGGTTTTCTGACCTCAAGATGTGGGACTTGTGATGCAAATGTATCTTGTTACCCATGATCTTTTGATCTCTGCATTGTGTCCCACTGTGACTTTCTGTGATGGTCTTCATTTGTAATAAAGAGAGGTTTTGGTGAAGTGTTTTAGAAAAACTGGTTAATTGCATCTCTCTTTTGTAAGTTCACATAGAATTCTAAAACCTTGGAAGATAGACCACAGGAAAGAATATTTCTCTTCAGATCCAGCTTGAATCAACTGAGTGTTGTGTGGTATATGCCATACTCAGACCTAGGTGCTCACCCTTAAACAATGAGATACAAACAAAAGCTAATTCAATAGGCTATGTTGGTCTGGTAATCACGTGGATTAAACTGACATGCTATTTTTTTTCATGACACTGTGGTTTTTGTTTGTCTATTCTCCATTTTAAGGATGATGAGTGCTTTTTGAGGTAGTTTACATCGGTTTTTATTTCTTCTAATGAGAAAACTTTTTTTTAAAAAAGATTACTAGCCCATTTTTTTTAATTGGGTGGTTTGATTCTTTGACTCTTTATATTGTGAATTCTTTATATATTTCAGATATTATTCCTCTGTCAGATATACCTGGAAAAGATTGTACCCGACAGTTTTTCTCCCATTCTATAGAGTTCTTTTTGACTGGATTATTTCCTTAGCTATACAGATTTTTAATTTTTAGTTGTCAGCCTTAATTCCTTGGCAAAAGAATCCCTTTTAGTAAGTACTTTCCTACACCGACTGTAATGCCCATGTTTTTCTTCTAGCAATTTTATTTTTTAGGATTCAAATTGTGGTCTTTAATCTACTTGGATCTACTATTTGTACATTGTTTCATTGTGATAGATATGGGTCTATTTTCATTCTTTTTTTTTTTTTTTGGTTTTTCAAGACAGGGTTTCTCTGTGGTTTTGGAGCCTGTCCTGGAACTAGCTCTTGTAGACCAGGCTGGTCTCGAACTCACAGAGATCTGCCTGCGTCTGCCTCCCAAGTGCTGGGATTAAAGGCGTGCGCCACCATCGCCCGGCTTATTTTCATTCTTCTAAATAAATTGTGATAATGCTTTTCCCCTCCTCCATCGCCTCCCAGAAACTCTCCACCCATTTACCCTCCCATGACTTACCTTTATCTCTCTTAAACAAATATACAAACAAAAAAATCATACACAATAATATCCCCACAAAAATAATAAAAACAGAAATCAGATTATTCAAGCATAAGGAAAAATGCTCAAACAAAGCAATATGAAACAAAAACTCTGCAAAAATACCATTGTGCTCCTTTTGTGTTGGTCAGCTACCCCTAGAATTAGGACCTATAACAAGTATGGTTAAAATACCTAGTGAGACTCTCTCTCTCTTTTTTTTAATTGTGTAACCATTATTGTTTTATTTTTTTTCCTTTTTTTTTGAGAAAAGAAAAAAAACATAAACAAAAAACAAGTTTCCACCTCCTCCCAGCCTCCCATTTCCCTCCCCCTCCTCCCACCCTTCTCCCTCTCCCTCCACTCCTCTCCCCCTCCCTCTCCAGTCCACAGAGCAGTCCTGGTTCCCTGCCTTGTGTTAAGTCCTAGGTCCTCCCCCCTCCGTCCATATCTAGGAAGGTGAACATCCATACTGGCTAGGCTCCCACAAAGCCAGCACATTAAGTAGGATCAAAACCCCGTGCCATTGTCCTTGGCATCTCATCAGCCCTCATTGTTCGCCATGTTCAGAGAGTCCGGTTTTATCCCATGCTTTTTCGGTCACAGTCCAGCTGGCCTTGGTGAGTTCCCAATAGATCAGCTCCACTGTCTCAGTGGGTGGGTGCATGCCTCGTGGTCCCGACTTCTTTGCTCATGTTCTCCCTCCTTCTGCTCCTCATTGGGACCTTGGGATCTCAGTCCAGTGCTCCTGTGTGGGTCTCTGTCTCTATCTCTATCCATCACCAGATGAAGGTTCTATGATGATATGCAAGATATTCGTCAGTATTGCTCTAGGATAGGGTCATTTCATGTTACCAATCCTCAGTTGCCCAAGGAACTAACTGGGAACCTCATCTTGGGCACTTGGGAGCCCCTCTAGGGTCAAGTCTCTTGCCCACCCTAAAGTGGCTCCCTTAACTAAGAATTGTGGTTCTGTTCTCCCCTATCCACCCTTCCTTTATCCCAATTCTCCTGTTTCCCCATGTCCCCCCTCCTTCCATTCTACCTTTTCTCTCCCCATCTCCCTTTACCCCCATCCCACCCCACCCCCAAGATCCCAGTTTTCTCCCCGGCAATTTGGTCTACTTCCTTTAGCCAAGAGGATAACTATATGTTTTTCCTTGGGTTCACCTTCTTACTTAGCTTCTTTAGGTTCACCTATTGTAGACTCCGTGGCCCTTATTTATGGCTAGAAACCAATTATGAGCGAGTACATCCCATGTTCATCTTTTTGGGTCTGGGACACCTCACTCAGGATAGTGTTTTCTATTTCCATCCATTTACATGCAAAATTCGAGAAGTCATTTTTTTTTTACCGCAGCATAGTACTCTAGCGTGTATGTATTCCATACTTTCTTCATCCATTCTTCCATTGAAGGGCATCTAGGTTGTTTCTAGGTTCTGGCTATTCCAAATAATACTGCTATGAACATAGTTGAACAAATGCTTTTGTCATATGATAGAGCATCTCTTGGGTATATTCCCAGGAGTGGTATTGACTCTCTTTGAAGAAACTTTTTTTTTTTTTTGCATGTGACTGTCAACTCAGAAAGCTTCTTGATTTGTGGTGGAAGATCCTGTCTGCCTCTCACTCTGAAATCTTACTCCCTTCATTCCATTTGTAAATTTCTCCTGAATTTTCTAATAGGGTATAAAGCTTTCAATTCAATCTCCTATTCAGCGTTGTGTTCCCTTAGATGTTTTGGTCTCTTTATTGAATTCAGATTTAAATTATGATTTATCTTCATTATCTCATTCAGGTGTGAAATTGTGTTTTCTTCAGCACCACTATAGCATTTACTATTATGATATAGAAATTCAGTGAAGTGTTTCTTCATGTCTTCATTAAATGTCTTGAATTCATTTATAAAGTTTATGATTATTCTTTAAATATTGTGTGTTCCTGCATTTGTTGAAGTAGCTTCCATTAGAGAACACTTACATAATACTGGTGGGTTTTGTGAGAGACATGCTGTTTTGGTCATTTGTGCTTTTTATTGTTGTTGTTGCTATTGCTTTTTGTTGCTGACGCTATGGTTTTTGTTCTTGTTGTTGTTTTCTTCTGATTTGGACAGTCATGTGGACTTCTTTTTTTTGTGTGTGTCTGATATGGTAATCTACTCTTCCTTAGACTGGGACAGTGCAAGAAATGTGAAAAAAAACTGAGCTGAGTTAGGCTAAGCTGATGCATGAGCTGAGCCATTCAAAGAGGGTGCACAAATGAATAGATTTAAGGGCTATATGTCTGGATCTAAGCTGGTATGTTTGCACATTTCAGTGGGTTAGATAAAGCAAAGGCAACACAAAGAAGCTACTTGCCCAGAAAAGGTGGCAACACACCAAGGGAGGTTTGTAGGCCATAGGTTTGGAATTAGGCTTGTGTGTTTGCAAATGGCAAAGGGGGAAGAAGAGAAACGTGGAATGCAACTTATCCAAAATAGGTAGCCCCTTACAAAAATTGTTTGTGGGCCTTCATGGGTCTGGAACTAGGATTGTGAGTTTGCCAATCAATAAAGAATTTCTAAGAAGTACAATTGATTGCAGGTCTACAGTGAAAAATTTTAAAGATTTTCAAGGAAAAATCTTTCAACTGAAATTTTTTATTTCAATATCGTTTTTAGGTGGAAGCGAATCCTCCTGGGATAAAGATAAGATACAGTCTCCACTTGCTTCTCCTGGACCTCAACATGGAATTGCTCATGCAGCACTTACTGGCCAGCCCAGCCTTGGGAGTGCGCCTACCCTCAATCCACTTCAGCAGAATCACCTGTTAAGCAATCGTAAGTGTACTATCCTGACCAAATTGCTTGTCAGAAAAATAGATAAATGAACAAAGAAAATGTGTTATACTACACAGTGGAAATATACTTACCCATTTTTAACAGTAAAATCATTAAACTGAAAAATAAATACAACTAGAAAAATCTTTGCTTGTGAGGTAACTCAAACCCAGAAAGACAGTCATGATATATATTTGATTATATGTGGACATTAGCTGTTAAGTTAATGATAATTGATCTACAGTACATATAGTAATAAAGGTTAAATATAGAGTAATGGACTTGGGCAGAGGTGGGATAGAAGAAGGCACAGATAGATCTCCTTAGGAAAGGGAAATAAAATAAATAGTTAGAAGTGGAATGTGGGGAGGGGGATGGAATGGGAGGATGAACTGGGGATAAAAAGGGAAGAAGATATGAGGGAGGGAATTGTGGAAAGACAGCTCAAGTTAAGGGCCATTTAAAAGGAGCTGTGAAAACCTAATATAGTAGGTGCTCCCTAAAATACATACATATATGAAAGTGATCTAAATCAAATTGCCAAATCACAGGGAAGACAGCTGTGAATAGATCTTGTCATCAAATAATACTTCCAGGACCGGGTGTGAGTTGCATCTAATTGAGTTGTAGGCCAAATGTTTTCATGAGAAACCCAAAACAATCCAGTTTGTTACCAAGACTATAAATTGCTCACCAAAAACTGATGGCAGTTCCTTACTACTGAAGACAGCATTCATACTACTCATTGAACATCATGAAATTGAGCTGATACCTACAGAAAGCCTTCATCCTATGTGCTAGCATCTTTGGTATAAGAAAGTACTCTGAACTCTACCAAAGGAGAAATATAAATACCAACCTGTCCACAAATTTTTTTTTAATTTAAAATGGTGAGTGGCCCAAAACATATGCTAGGACAGGGTGGCCCAAAACTTGAGGAAGTAACTAACCATCACCCCATATCTGATTTTACTTATGATCTAGTCCATGAGATGGAAGCAATACCTGACAGTACTTGAATAACCAAAAATCTGAAATTAGCTAGCCTGGGGACCTAGGGTAAAACAAATACTACTGGTCTAAACAAACAAGCAAAATACATAACAATAAAGTGACTCCTAATGACAATCTGTTGTACTCAAAAATCAGTGCTTTGTTTAGCCATAATCAAAGAAGCTTCCTTCTATAGCAGGTAGCAGCAAACACAGATCCACCTGCGACATTATACAGAAAATGAGAAACCTTTGAATACCTATCTGGTATCTCCATCAAATTTCTTCCCTTCAGGGCTCAGGGAACCATGTGCAGGCAGAAAGAGTGTCCTTTGCACATTTATTCGGGTTTCCAGTTTAGTGCTTTTATGAGTTTCCAGAGAGTATTAAAGAGTGGACCTCTGCGTCTGTAACTATTTCTAGTGCATTTTCTAGGAATCCTTTCCTTCTGATTGTTTGTGTCATCCTTTTGTGATGCATTAGTTTTGATCTATCTTATATTTTTAATTTTATTTTATTATTTTAAAAAATTCCCAAATGAAAAAAAAACAAAAGTCATGGGCTAGTTACAAAATATGTGGTATTCTAGATTTGGGAATATACAGAAAGAAGAAAGCAGAAACAAAAATGGAAAACTATTTGAATTGTCTGTAATTATTATTACTCTAATTGGAAGCATGAACCTGGGAGAATGCAGCCCAAAAATAAGGTGGAACAAGGTCCATGAAATAGCAACCTTTATTCAGGGCACCAGAAAATTTATACTCTGACAGTGTTTAGAGAGTTAGGAAAATTCATGTGAGCAAAGTTCACTTGAGTTCCAGCTGTCTGCAGTCACTGTCAAGGGCAAGGCAGTTTGAGTCAAGACTGTATACAGTCACTAGTACAAATTATGCTTAGACACATCATTTTTTTTATGTATTACTCTTTTTTAAATTTATTCTAAAAACTATCTTTTCTCATTTTACATGCCAAATTCATTTCCCACTCCCTCTCCTCCTGCTGCTTCCTCCACTTTTCCCCACTAAACCCCACATTGCACTCCTCAGAGAGAATATGACTTTCATTGGGGAGTCAACCAAGTCTACCACATATAGCTAGGCTGAGCAAGGTATCCCTCCAGTGATAATGGATTCAAAAAAGCCAGAACAAGCAGTAGGGATAAATCTTGGTCTCACTGCCAGTGGCCCCACAGTCTGCCCCAGCATTACTACTTTTACCTGCATTCACAAGGCCAAGTTTGTTCCTATGCTGGTATCCTCACTGTCAGGCTGGAGCTGGAAGTTTTCCTTTAGATCAAGTAGGCTGTTTCAGTGAGTATCCCCATCATGGACTTGACCTCTGCTCATATTCTCATTCCTCCGTCTCTTCGACTAGACATGGGGAGCTCAGCCCAATGTTCGACTGTAGTTCTCTGCATCTGCTTCCATCAGTTGCTAGATGAAGGTTCTATGATGACATTTAAGACAGCCATCCATCAGACTACAGGGCAAGGCCCATTCAGGCACCCTCTCTACTATTGCTTAGGGTCATAGCTCGTTTCATCCTTGTAGATTCCTGGGAATTTCTCTAGTGCTAGGTTTTTTGTTAGCCCCATAATGGCTCCCTCAATCAACATATCTCTTTCCTTGTTCTCCATCTCTGTTCTTTCTCCATCTTGACCATCCCAGTCCCTCTAATTCTCCTCTCCCTCCTCTTCTCCCCTCCTACTCTCCTTCTGCCTTCCATTCTCCCCCTACACGCCCAATTTTCTCAAGAGATCTTGTCTATTTTCCCTTTCTAAGGAGATCTATGGATGCTTCTCTTAGGGTTCTCCTTGTTACTTATCTTCTCTGGGGTCATGGACTGTAGGCTCCTTATTCTTTGCTTTACAGCTAGTATTCACCTATGAGTAGGTATTTACCATGCTTATCTTTTTGGGTCTGAATTACATCACTCAGGATGGTTTCTTCTAGTTCCATCCATTTGCATGCAAATTTCATGGTGTCATTGGTTTTTTACCACTGTATAGTACTCCATTGTGTAAATGTGTCACATTTTCTTTATCCATTCTTCAGTTGAGGGTCATCTAGGTTTTTTTCCAGGTTCTTGCTATTACAAATAATGTTGCTGTGAATAGAGATGAACAAATGCTGTTGTAGTATTGTTGAGCACCTTTTGGGTAAATGCCCAAGAGGAGTATTGCTAGGTATTGCAGTAGGTTGATTCCCAATTTTCTGAGAACCCACCATACTGATTTCCAGAGTAGTTGTACAAGTTTGGATTCCCACCAGCAATGGAGGAGTCACCATCTTACCCCACATCCTCTACAGCATAAACTATTCTTGGAATTTTTGATCTTAGCCATTCTGAGAGGTATAATATAATAATATTATATAATAATAATAATAATATCTCAGAGTCGTTTTGACTTGATCATTTTGGATGATTTTTTGATGTGTTCTTGAATTCTATGTGTCAGTATTTTATCAAGTATTTTCCATCAATATTCATGAGGAAGATTGGTCTGCAATTCTCTTTCTTGGTTGAATCTTTATGTGGTTTCAGAATCAGGGTAACTGTAGCCTCATAGAAAGATTTTGTCAGTGTTTCTTCTTGTTTCTATTATGTGGAATGTTGACCGATATTTCTGTCCCAACAGGTCCTGCCTCGTCCTGCCTGATCCCACAACCATTCAACCCCAAAGAAACATACAGGGGTCTATATTAATCATAAACTGGCTTGCCTATTAGCTCAGGCTTCTTATTAACTCATAACTGATATTAGCTCATAATTCTTGTCTGTGTTAGCCACGTGGCTTGGTACCTTTTCCAGCGAGGCAGTTCATCATGTTTCCTCTGCATCTGGGTGAGAACCACAGACTGAATCTTTCCTCTTCCCAGAATTCTCCTGTTCTTGTCAACCCACCTCTACTTCCTGCCTGGTTCTCCCACCTATACTTCCTTTCTGGAGTTTTATTACAATACCAGTGACAGGGTACAGACCATTGTCCCACAGCAGTGGAACAATTCGAGGAGTATACGTATTAGCTCTTCTTTGCTGTTTTGGTAGAATTCTGCACTAACACCATCAGGCCTTGGGCTTTTTTTGGTTGGGAGGCTTTTGATGACAGCTTCTATTTCCTTGCAGTTATAAGTCTAGTTAAATTGTTCACCTGGTCTTGATTTAATTTTGGTATGTGGTACCTATCCAGAAAATTTTCAATTTCTTTTACATTTTCTAATTTTGTGGAGTAGAAGTTTTTGTAGTATAACCTGATGATTCTCTGGATCTCCTCTTTGTCTATTGTTATGTCCTCCTTTTCATTTCTTTAATTTATTTATTTATTTATTTATTTATTTATTTAAGATTTCTGTCTCCTCCCCTCCACCGCCTCCTACTTCCCTCCCCCAATCAAGTCCCCCTCCCTTGTCAGCCCAAAGAGCAATCAGGGTTCCCTGCCCTGTGGGAAGTCCAAGGACCACCCACCTCCATCCAGGTCTAGTAAGGTGAGCATCCAAACTGCCTAGGCTCCCACAAAGCCAGTATGTGCAGTAGGATCAAAATCCCATTGCCATTGTTCTTGAGTTCTCAGTAGTCCTCACTGTCCACTATGTTCAGTGAGTCCGGTTTTATCCCATGCTTTTTCAGACCCAGGACAGCTGGCCTTGGTGAGTTCCCAATAGAACATCCCCATTGTCTCAGTGTGTGGTGCACCCCTCGTGGTCCTGAGTTCCTTGCTAGTGCTCTCTCTCCTTCTGCTCCTGATTTGGACCTTGAGATTTCTGTCAGGTGCTCCAATGTCGGTCTCTGTCTCTGTCTCCTTTCATAGCCTGATGAAGGTTAACATTCAGGAGGATGCCTATATGTTTTTCTTTGGGTTCTCCTTCTTATTTAGCTTCTCTAGGATCTCTAATTATAGGCTCAATGTACTTTATTTATGGCTAGAAACCAAATATGAGTGAGTACATCCCATGTTTCTCTTTTTGGGTCTGGCTTACCTCACTCAGGATAGTGATTTCTATTTCC